CCCGCGTCTCGAAAGAATTCAGCGTCCGATGGGCCAAGTGGCTTGAAAAATGCAAGCGCTTACAGCGGCGTATCAAGACAAGCAAACCCCGTTCTGAAAAAAAGCCCTGGCTCGTTACCCTGTTGAAGGGACGTGTTCATATTGCAGAAAAGTCGTGAGCGTGGGTCTTCTTAAGCAAAGAGCTTTACGCTTGCACTGGGTCCTGGCTATTCCAGGGAGCTCCACTTCACAAATGCCAAATCAAATCATCCTGATGGACTTCACCTGCCAGACTGAGACCAAATTTTATGCTTTTTGAAGCATGACACAGTTTGAATTGCAACAAGACCAAATTAAAAAGATTTCCTAATCCTCTCCGAACATTGAAAGAAAGAAAGAAAAACCGTGGAAATGACTTGCAAAAAAAAAAAAATCCATTTTATTTTAAAAAGCTGCTTCCGACCAAAACTTTTCATCGTTTTAACTTTGGCAAACAAAATGCAAACTGCAAAGCTTTGTTTAGGAAGCCAACACTTTTGGTTCCTCCAGGTGTTTTTGCAAACTCCCAAATTCACTTGATAAATGCTATGATAAAATAGAGGGGGAAGAGGAAAGGGAGTGATGTATGCGCGGAAATGCCTTGAAGTAATTCTTAGAGAGACAAGTGCTCAACCCAGTGTAGGAAGCTCATTTGAGCTGGGAGCTTTGATTTTGCTCTACTGAGCTGCAAAAATTTGGAAGAAAGTTAAATACTAATACTATTTAAAAAGAACTAACAAGGAAAATTTCTTTAAAAAAAAAAAAGAACCCCAAAATAATCTTTTTGAACTAAGATGGGGGTTGAACCACGGTGGCTGGGTGTTTGTGATCCTTGGGAATTCAGAAAACAGTTAAACACTGTCCTCTTTCAAGCTTCCTTAATTTCCAACCAGTTATGCTTGGGAGGTTGAGAAAAATAACGCCGATACAAAGGAAAATTGTGCAGTCCGGGAAGAATTTTCTCGAAGGCTCTGGACCTGCCGGTTGGCCCAGTTTTCAAAAGAGCCCAGTACTTAGGGTGCTCGACTCCTTTGGAAATCTGGCATCCGTTCCATATACCAAGCACTTGACAAACTAATGTAATGCATCTGCAGAAAACAGCTCATAAACCCATTGGAAACACTCCCATCGTCTTGGATAGGCTTGAGATCTGGTCCTAAGAGAGAAATGCTGGAAAGGGAATAAGCAAACAGCCTGCAAGGCAGTGGGGATGACATATCCAGTTTGCACTTAATACAAATAAGTTATAACTCATTTTAGTTTCTCAGTTTCTTTTCAATTGAACATGATCAAAATCAGTAATCTCTATGAGCCTGCGACACAATATCAACTTGAATAGGAGTGTTGTCATTGATTTTGATGGCAGCAAGAAGACGATTTGAGCTGAGTACACAGAATACGTACCTATGACTGTGTTCACCACTCCACTAGCAAGAATGGCTGTTCGGAGCAGCGGCTGCTCCATAGCGCTAGGATTCCCTAGCAGTGTGGACAGGCACTTGGGCGTATGCTATAAAGGCTAGACAGAGAGGTTTAGTCTATACCAAAAGGTTTGGCTCGAAAAGTCCTGGGTCTGAAATCCTGTCCATATGAGGAAGCACATAAGCAACATTTTTTAAACGCAGCTGTAAATGCACCATTTCAGTCCCAGCATGGCAAGGCCTAACACACACATATACACTTATAAGCATGAACCAAAGTTAACACCTTCCCACATTCTCGTTTCTGCCAACCAGCCATACGAAATACTAATTGCAGCAAAGTGAAAGTGGAGGGATGACGCTGACACTGTGTTTCGAGCTGGCCTGGTGTTCATGGTAATGGCTGGGATTGCTAAAGCAGCAGAGGGGAACTCGGATATGACATTGAAACCTTTTCAAATCCCGTAACAGTTTGCACCCTTCATCTGAGGATCTCAAAGCTCTCTGCACATGCGAGTGAATAAACTGCAGAGCTCTGAATCCACTGGCCATTCCAGGCACCAAGTTTCTTCTGGTCCAACTGGAAGGGCTGAAAGGGTCTTTTCCTTCCCCCCTTGACTCCTTAATTCAGGGCCTGTTCATTAACAGTCCATCAATTAATTCCCCTATTATATCTTTACAAAGCACCTGCCTCAGCGCGATGCTGATACAGTTGCATCCCGTGGTTGTGTTTTGCCTCATATCACCCTTACCAAAGGCACAGGCCCTCCCCCCAGTGCCATACCAGCAGTACCTTTCAAGAGGATCAGGGTAAAATCCCAACCATCTTCAGGAGCAGTCCCAAGATGGATTGCTTTTACTCTAGAGTTTGATTTCTAACAGGACATCAGACATTTCCATACAGAAACAGCAAGGATGTCTACTCCTAGCAGGTCCAGTTTTGCTCACGTTCACAGTGCTGTGAATTACTGCACGTTTACATGGGTGTAACTGCTATCGGAAACCAGCAAGCACAACACGTCCACCATCAAACCAAATCTTACTGGAACTGTACACCACCCATTTTTAACAAATGATCACACTGGGATTCATGATTGAAAATACAGTCTTAAGTCAGAGATGGGGGTTGCTTCTCAGGCAAATCACAGATGTGCCCCTATCTGCATTGCTCATTGATGACAGACCTCACACAAAGGGACAAGGATGATCCAGCAAGCAGATACACTTCCACAGCTAATACAGAACAACAGGTGTCCTCAGAAGCAGGTTTGAGTTGGCTGAAGAAACCATCTGGGGCCGAAGGCCTAACCCATTCAGTAAATCTTTATCTTAGCCCTATCCCTTCACAACTATTTTGGGGTGCTGCTGACAAAACTTCCATTGACTTCAGTGGGTCAGGATTTCATTCTCCATCTTTTGGGAGAAGTGAACCAGTCTGTTCATCTCTGGGAAATGTTGGCAACACTGACCAAGCTGCAGCACTAGCATGACCAACGATTTAGTATTAATGGAAATATCACTAATCCTGATTATGAAGGTATGTGGCAGGGGTGCTGAAGCCCACAACACTTCTATGGGATTTCCTGGGTAATTTAGCAGGCATCTGCCCAATCGGTATTTTTTAATTTTTACCAGAAACTGTCTTGAGGCCTGATCCTGCCATTGTGGTTCAGATACATTTCTCCCAGATTACAGGATCAGATAAATATGCTCTAGAGCTGCAGCTGTGGTAGCACAAGAGTTCATTGCAGGCTCCTCCTTGAAGAAGTTTGAGCCCTTCTCCGGCAGGTTTTGCACTCTGTGCTGAGCATGATACTAATGTGGCTGAAGGGCTACCTCAAGCTCAGTTGTCCACAGCTAGCCTGGCTGTGCCTACACAAGTCATCCTCATGGCAGTCTACACTGTAGGCAAACTCCACTTAAAAAGAAATATGGCTTGGGGCCCAATCCTGCATTCCTTGTGAACCCGAGATTCCCATCAGCTTCTGTGGGACTTTGATTTCACAGCAAAAACAGGTTTGGGCCAGTAGGAAGAATAGCCCCACTATTGCAATGGACCCCCCACAACTCCCAAACTGGAACCACCACAAGGAGACCAAGCTTTGATTTCTGTCCCTCCTTGGTGGGTTTGCAAGCACATGAGATTTACTTAGTTCCATTTGCCAGGCTGAAGCTATTTTCGATTTGGGGGAGAACTCTCTATTTAAGAAGGGAAACTGCAGTTTAAAAAAAGAAAAAAGCCTGCACACAATGTAGTTGGTTGCAAATTCCAAATATTATGTAGAGTCCTTTGTCTAACCGTCAAAGGTGAAACCTAGCTTCCCTCGACAAAGCTGGGAACTCCACTGCTGGCTTCCACGGGGCCAGGATTTCACACACAGAATCTATACAATAAAAATACATGGCCCCAATCCTGTGAACAGTTAGCATACGTGGCCCCATAGCGGTAATCCCATCAATGTCAATAATCAGAAGTTGCATGTATGACTGAGCGTTTGCGAGAATCGGGGCCTTTCTGTGTTTATGCAGATTACATTCTTGTCAGATAAATATTAGCAGACATGTTAAAGTGTAAGGGGCTGTTTGAATCAGCTGGCGTGAAAAGGATGGCATGAAAAGGAGTCACAGCAAATTTTGTTCTCACAAGATATCCTTAAAGATTGCGATAGGAGTGTCATCATAGAAAATGTGCAAATTATGTCAGTCACGACTCATTTTACTATGGCTGCTTTGAAGGCATCTACAAAATATGAAACATTATTGGCAGTATTATTATTAATCTGTAATGCAGGACATAGGTATATGTATAACACACATTCCTTTGTAAATGTACGAGTAATATCTCAGTAAAAGAAATATTCAGAACATCGTCGAGAATATGCACGTGTTTATCAGAAGAACAATATTCCTGATGAACAAAGGAACAATGCATGTGTATTACACTGATAACTATGCTCCTTCCTTTGCCACCAGGAAGATTTCCATTCATTAGCTTGTCCGAACTAAAACATTTTTTTCCTCACACCCCAATTTAATCAATACATTTTAATTCTCTTGATTAAATATTTCCTTCTGGCTCAGACGTATGAAATGAAATAGAAATCCATCAAAAAAATCTGCTAGCCATCCAAAATGGCAAGAGATACAGAATAAAAGTGCTCCTGAATGGGTTTTAAAAGGTGGGGTGATTTTCTTTTTGGGGAGTGGGGGAAGCAGGGTAGCGGTGGAAATGTTTTAATGACTCCAAAGCCTACCCCTGAAGTCTGCCTCATCTGTAACTGATTTCTGTTTGTGGCGATTTCTCATCCTTCAAGCCATCAATCACTTTGGGGAAGGGGTGGAGGGGTGGGAAGAGAGAAGCAAAAATCTGGTCTTGATAAATCAGGAAGAAAGAAAAGCAGGTTTGTGGTGGGTTTTTTTTTTTAATTGTTATTTAACTCAGCAGAAAAAAAGAAAAAGAAAAGAAGAAAAGCTTTACAACAATGCTCTGAAGTTTGCAACTGCGTGTGCATGAAAAGTGCTTTGTGTCCTGGGTGCCGGGGAGCGGGGGGAGTTACTTACCCTGAAGTAGATGGAAGGAAAATCCCATAAGGTGTTTAGCCAGCAGATCCAAGGGAAGCCAGCAGATCGATGCGGATCACTCCCAGGGACAGAGGCTGACAATGATCTCAGCGAACCAGGCACTGAAAAGCAACCCGGCTCCGAGGAGAAAGGAGAAAACAAGAGCAAGCGGAGCTCCAACGTCAGATCTGTATCCTCTCCAAATAGGGCAATCAAGGGTGGGGGAAAGCGATCGGCCCCTCCAGGAGTTTACAACATCTTCATCCCCAGTAGCAGCAGCATCCCGGAGCAGAGGGAAGGGGCAGATGCCTCCAAACCCAGAGGCGCACACGTCCAAACGCACCAGGCAACAGGTAGAAAAGGAGCAAAACGAAGGGCAACTGCTTCTGAGACCGGCTGGGACCCAGCACAAAGCCAAAGGGGCCAAGCCTCCCAGACACAAGTTCCCGATGCGCTAGCCGAGGCAGGAGGAGAGGAAGGGCATCCGAAAGCAATCCGGCACAAAACAATCGGAGGAGTCCCGGTTCACCCCAGTGCAAGGGAACGGAGGAGACAAGCTGGGCTGTGGCGGCTGCAGCAGTCCCAACCCACAACAGGACACGAGAGAGAAAAGGACACGGAGAAAGTCATTAGGAAGCTCAGCCGGGGACTACAAGAATGCAGCCCCTCCAATGCATCTTCTGCCTCCCCGCCGAGAAATGCCCCCAGCCCCGCGCACAGCAGTGCAGGCAGCCAGGGAAGGCGGCTCCACTCTGTCCCCTCCTGGCTGGGCTGAGCCTGGAGACAGCAGCACTGCCCAGGGAAATCACTCCCTTTGCTCCCAGGCTGCCCTCAGTAAGGAAAGAGGCTTGACTCCGAGAGGATCTGATTATATTGTACCAGACAGGAATGAGCAAGCAGGGACAAGAAAGATTTAAAGTGCCCTCAGCCCAATTTCTTAGAGGTTTCTGCTTCTCTCGCTCTCTCCTCTACAACTTACCCTGGAGGAGGGCCAGCTGCAGCCAAGCTGCAGGGCCAGAGAGATCTTCTGGATCCTCCAAGAAACACGGAGAGGGTGTGTTGTTGTTGTTGTTGTTGTCACTTTCCATCTGAGCTCAGACCCCTTGGTTTTAATTTGCAGAGAATGCCCCGATTGCCCCCCTGGCTCCTCCCTGAGAACAGACTCTTCTCTGACCTTTCTGCTTGCAGATTGCAATCCAGAGGCTTTTTTTTTTGTTGTTCTCATCTCCATCACCACCACTCACCCCAGTGTGGCAAAACACCCAGGAGCAAACAGGTGGCATGCAGTACTGGCACACCACACTGCACAGGGCTCCAGGGGTGTCAAGGAAGCAGGTAACTTGATCCAGATGTTACATAAGAAACAAAGAGAAAAACATAAGTCAAAATTTGGGTGGGAAATAGGCTGTTCTGCCTGAGGGCAAAACCCACCCTTTCACCTGATAGGGCTTAGACGGGAATTTCCTTCTAGGGGTGGGGTATCCCATGCCTGCCTATTTCACCTCTCCTGGAGGCAGCTGGTACTAGCTACTGTCAGAGACAGAATAATAGACTGTATGATACACTATGGATATCCCCATGTGCGTCTTCTCTGGGATCATCACGATGAGGGACCCCATCCACTGACAGCATGAGATCCTCCCCATGGATTTTTGGCATGGCTTGAGCACTTGAAGTACAGTTTTACGACTCCTTGAGCACTTGAAGTACAGTTTGTTTTACTTCCCTAATGACCGAGTAGCAGTTCCGCTAGTCCAACAGGTGTTGGACTCTACCAGTGTCCGTGCACTCCTACTCTCTTAGTTGCCAGCAAGGGTGTTGCTTTCTTCCTCCAGAACAGAGGTGAGATTCTGATCGGAGTCTTAGATGTGAGCGTTGACTCAGCCTCTCTTATTGACAGTTGGATTTCTGCCTGGTCCACCTACTGAGTTTTGCTGAAAAAATACTGGACTCGGGCAGAAAACAACTAAAAGAGACATCAAAGACTTGGAAGTAACATGTTGATCCTGTAGATGACGAAAGGAAAATATGAGCTAGATAAGGGCAGGAATGAAGCAGCTGACTAATCATTAAAGGTGAAATTCAGTCTTGTGCTAAGGCCAGCAGCAGGCTTAACTCTGGCTGATGCCTCATTCAAGCCATATTTGGATGGTTCAAGTGGGATTTACATGCTGGCTCTCTGTACGGGAGGTAATTTTAGCTCATTGTTAAGCAGAACTTTGAGCCCTTTTGAGTGCTGCTTTATCACATTCAAAGGTCCAAGAATATTGGTATTAGTCAAATGACTCTAAAAGAGGATGGAGTTGGTTTTGATTTGATCTTTTGGATTGTGAAGAATGAAAATCACTCGCTCATCATGTTCGCAGTATTTGTAAAAGAGGGCGAGAGCACCCAGCTAGGACACTGCAACCGTGCAAGGCATTCTCGTGAAGGAAACGTGAAGAATCTTGAGAACTGTCGCTCAGCTCACCTGTTGTTGGTAGCAGAAAAGATTCATTAAGAAGATGCTAATAAAAAATATTATTAACTCAGTAGCCAGAAGAAGTGCAGTAAATCTGGGCTAAGTCATTTAGTGCAGGGCCAAAGTAACATGCACAGCTGGCCAAGTACCAGATTGATAAAGATGTCTTAGCACTGGTGGAGAATTATCTAATGAGGCAATTATGGAAAGATACGAATGGGAAGAACTCTGCATGGAAGAACTGTAGCAGCTGGAGTATTATTAGGGCACCATACTCTGACCCATGCTATTTAATAATGTCTAGTTGAATTCTTTTAGGGAATATTCTCAAAAGCCCCTGAGTGCACTCAATCTTTCAGGCGCTTTGGAAAAAGGTCCCCCTAAATCAACATTTGCCAAATGTCACAAATTTAGAGGGTGACACAAAATAATAGCTCTAAATCCCAAAATGGTCTGGCAAGAATGAAACTGCAGGCAGTAAGATGTGATTTAATACTAGTTCAAAAGGAAAAAAAACAAGTGAAGACTCCTAAAATCAAACCACATCCAACACAATACCACGGAAGACAAAGTAAAGGCATGCCACTAGTCATATCACTTCTATATACACATCCCTGCTCATTCCTCTATCTCTCTCTCTCTCCCCCACATACACACACACACACACACACACACACATGCACACCATCTCTACCCTACATAAATCTACAGCAATCTGCCCATCTCACCACACTGACACCCCAACTTCTTTACTCTTACTCTGCCCTGTGTGGAATAATTCTGCAGGTCTGAGTTTGTGCGGTTTTTACTGAGTCTTTGTATTTTGGAACGTTTACTGCTTTAAGGAAGTGTTTTCTTTTTGGACTATGGTGTTTGTAAACCATGTTGTATTGCTATTGTTAGTGAGGTGCACTGATGTGTCATTTGGTTTGCCAAGTAATTGCTATTGTTTTTGAGAAGAAGGTAACATACAGCAAACTAGCATGTTCGGAGGGCAAAGTTAGGTTATCTGGGTTGAAAAACAGAAAGCAGAGCAGAAAATGTGACTACCAGGAAGACCAGATTGCTAAGAGGTCAGAATAGGCCTTGGTTCAACCTTTCCCTTTCCTGTCCTTGGCAATTCAGTGCTGAAGCCAGAATTAGGAGACAGTCATCTGGGGCCCGACTCAACACCGGTAGGAGGAACTCAGTGCCAGTTTTTGCACTAATTTCAATCGATATTAGATCAGGCTCACTGACTTGAGTAACCCTGTTGTGTTTTTTACCTGCTGCAGCTCTTCACTCATCAGCTCCCACTCCCAGCCCCTGGGAGCTTGTCACCTGCCTTTAAAATATTCTCCGCTGCCAAACCACTTCGATTATTTTGAATGCTGAGCAGCAAAACACAAACAGGCTCCTAAGACACAACCGTCGGTTCTCACGCCCCCAGATGAAGTTATGCTCCTTAGGCCCATTGTTTTGTTCCCTGGCCGCAATGTGGCTGGGAATACAGCGCGCACAGACTTACCTAATACTCACACGTTCATGCACATCCTGTCACCGCCTTGCAAAGCTCACCCTGACACACCACAGCTGGGCAACTGAAGCCTATGAGGAACACACGTTTCTCCCTCCAGAAGCTTCACTCCCTCACCCATTGCTGTTGTTTCAGACCCGCAGTGCCAGGGGCTCCCAGCTTGTCAGGACAGGACTCCAAGCTGTGGGCGGGAACATTCAAAGGGTTCATTAGAAGTTAAAAATAAAACTGTTGCTTTTATTTGTTTTTTAATGCAGATTCCAAGGCTCCCTGCCCATGGCTGGGGCTCTGGAAGACACCTGCTAGGAAAAGGCAGCTGCAAAGAGGGCGAGTCAGGGGAGCAGGGAGTGGCAAGGAGGGGAGCAATTGTTCTTCTCTGAGATATCTCTGTGGCAGGAGTCTCCATTGCCCCCTGCACGAACTTGTACTTTGATCACCACCTCCCAGCCATATTCTGTGGGGTACTCACCTCCTGGAGGCAGAGGCTCATGGTTTTGGCTGGTACAAGATTATGTTTGTAAGGAAGAACGATTTTATGGGGGAAGTACCCAGGAAGTGTGGATCCAAATCCCGGCTCTGCCCTAGACATTCAGTTGCTTGACCTCAGCTGCCCATCTGTAAAGTGGGGCTAGTAGTATATTTTCCTTTATCTGTTAAGAATGTAAGCCCCATGGTGCAGGGGCATGTTACATTTCCCTATGAGTATATACAAAAACTAACACAACTAGGGTTTTGCATGCTGCTGTGAAACAGAGCGCAATTTCTCCCTACATCTTTGCTCCGAGACTCCATATTTTACCCCACTGTGATTCTCAGCCTCCTTCCTTTCCCACCAGCAGCTGCAGGGGGAATGCCAGCTAGTTCCTAAAGCAGGACAGGAGGAATGAAAACACCAGGCTCTGTTCCCAGATGTGTTACTAACTTGTTTTGTGACCTTGGGCAAATCACTTAAATTCTCTGAGCCTGTCTGCTCCTCAGGGGAGAGATTATATCTTTTTATGTGTTTGCCCAGTGTCTAGGAGGAGGAGGCCCTGATCCTCATACAGAAAATTACTGTGTCTTGTGCTTTGATTGAATGGACAGGACTAGACAGCTACTTATCTCCCAGGAGTGCCATGAGGCCTAATTAATTAATGCCCACGAAGAGATCCTCAGTTGAAGT